AAAAAATTCTCTTTATTGATGACAAAATAATTGGGTAAAATATTTCAAATTAAAATTTATGAGCATTAATATGTCATGCGTCCGCCTTTTTTGTGATCCATCAACATCAACGTAAGCACGGAACTGGTGCGTGACGACAACCGTCGACGTCATCTCTCTAATATCAGAAGTCTTGAGACGGGACTAAAGAATTAGGATCCCCCAATTGTACAACTAGTTTCGAGTTAGTCCCATGACTTCAAAAACAAACAATTAAGTTTCTTAAATTAAAAAATACTTTATTGTTTCCATCAAAAACCATTAATATAAGTTCTTGCACTGTCAAATGCTACGTTGCAACTTTTTTGTTTAATTAATGTCATATCACAGTACATTAAAATATATTCACATGTTAATTTCATTTAGTTGATATTATTGATGGTTACTTAATCATTATTTATTAAATAAATTAAATTAAATCAACAATTTTTATGTCAACAATTAAGGTGATTAAGACTAACGACCTGTTGATTAAAGTAGAAGGAGTTCGGTTCTCTTTAAATAAGGTATTGAATTCGAGTCTTGTGAATGGAGAAACAAGTATCGGGAGAATTTTTTTCCTAATAGGATCCGACGTAATTCGATTCTGAATTAATCGGGATTCAATGTGATTATCGAATATCAAAAGGTTAATACAAAAAAAATTAAGGTAATTAAAGAATAACGAATTCCAGTGCTACTCTTTGGAACTTCAGACCATCAAACTATTGCTCTACTCAAAGCAAACATATTTCCTTCTATGTATTAATTAGGTAAATAGTAATGATCACATAAAAATTGTCGGATATTTAGTTTGATTTTTAAAAAATAATTAATAACTATAATTATTAACTAATAATTTATAAAATTATTAATATATCATTTAACAATTATTAGGTACTTTAACTAATTATAAATTAATAAAATAAGTTAAATTAAATAAATTTACTATATATATACATGGCCATGGCCATGACCTACTAATAATATAATTTATATCTAAGTCATATTTGATTGAAGCTTTTTTGTTTTTTCTTTTGGCCATTTCTTACTGTGTTTGTCAAATTTTCGTGATTTTCATGTTCAAGTAACACTTGACATGCCAAAGCCCAACTTTCTTTACGTTATTTTATTTTTTTTCTATTGTTAGATTATTAAACTAAAAAAAATTGTGTTACAATCTGCTCTACTCTGTGACGGACTGTAATATCAAAACCATCCAAAGGAAAGGGCCCTGATATTGAAAATAAAAAGTACCTATCATATTCAAGAAACATTAGAACCATCAACGCTACTCTCCCTTTGTAATGGTTTTAATGTTACAGTTCATTACAAGGTAGATTATAACACAAGATACCCATTAAATTATATAAATAAAAATATAATTCTTGTTATTTATCTTAAAAAATTTAATATTGATATTTTTAATTTAAAATTTTAGAATCTAGATTCTTAATAACTAAGAACACCAACTCTAAAGCAAAAATTCACCAAAAAAAAACTCTAAAGCGAAAGCATATGAATCTAAACACAAGATGAGTGAGATTATAGCTCATCTTAGCAAAGGATGAAGCATGAACTCGATTTAATTAACATTTGATTTTGAAGGTAGGAGAATTAAGTCCAAAAATAAAACTATTGTTCCAAAAATGAAACTGAGACTAAAGTTGACGGACCAAAAGTCAGAAAAAACGCGGAAGGATGCTTGAGGATGCTCTATACCTCTTGTTTTTTCCTCTCTCTCTCTTCTTT